TTCCCCCAACAGCTTACTCCAAAGTGGAACAAACCAGTTATGTTGGTGCTAAGATGGTCTCTTTGGCACGCCCCCTCCGGTGCTGGCCCTCTTCCTCATTGACAGTCTTGTCAAACTGGTTCAAAACCACCAAACTCCATGCTCAATAATCCAGGTATACAATCCCAACAATTTTCAGTCAGGAGGAGGGGATGTGCCAAAGAGACCATCTTAGCACCAACTTAACTGGTTTGTTCCACTTTGGAGTAAGCTGTTGGGGGAAGAATCAGTTTTGCGTTGTGTGTTTCCTTGACTGATGAAGCCTTCTGGATGGAAGGTGAAACATTTCAGCGCAAAAAAAAATCAAAACTGTTTAGATGACCTGACTGAAAATTGTTGGAATTTGAGACAATTAATCACCCAGCAAAATTTGTTATTGTGACAGGTCTATGTGGTGCAAATGACAAATGAAGAAACTTTGACTTGGACCACACTTGTAGCAATAACTTTAGATAATTTCCAGAATTGAATAACATTTTTTTTAAAGGGCATATTTTCACAATCGCCGTTGTGACAAAAATAACAGTAGTCATAAATTAATAAAAAATGTATTGTGGTTGTTAAAGAGAGTGGTGGCGCAGAGGTTAAAGAAGTTGGGCCTGTGATTGGAAGGTCACCAGTTCGACTCCTCTTACAGACAACATCAAAATGCGGGTGGGAAAGGTGACTCACCCACACCTGCCTCCACCCTCATTTGCCCCACACTGAGCTCTTGAGCAAGGCCCTTAACCCCCACCATCTGCTCCCCCAAGCGCCCTAGATGGATGTGATAGGTCTGTGGTTGTGTCAGGAAGGGCATCCGGTGTAAAAACAATCGCCAAGTCTTCGTGCGACAGTTCGCTGTGGTGACCCCTGAAGAAGGGAGCAGCTGAAAATTAATTTTTTTTAAGACCTTGTGTTGTTACTATTCCTTAGCGTAGTAGGTTTATTATCAACGTTTGAATAAAACTGATTAAAAATGGGCCACAAACTGTAGTTTCTATCATTTTGTGGTTCAGAGGCTAAAACGTTTAGAAAAAACTGTTTCATGGCAAAGTTTTAAAACCAGATCTTACCCAACCATGTAAAGCATAAGTAGGGAATCAGTCTCAGCTACTACCATACTAAATATTAACTGAATATCTGCAAAACTGACTAAAATGTAGCATCTTTTGCATTAGCTAAGGCTATAGGTGTGGCAGCCATCTATGTAAACCCAAAGACTTCCCTTTCTTACATTTGAACCGTTTCATTAAAATCAGTTTTGTGGTTCATGAGATATTTTGACAACAGACTGACCATCACAAATGCACACACCAACATGGACATAAACATAATTGGCTTTTTGGTGGGAAATAAAAAGAAAGCAGTAAGTAAAATAAAAATAAAGATGCTGACACATATTCAGAGGTTGTGTTTAAATATTAACGTCAACAAAATCTTCAGTAAATCATAAAATCAAGTCAGCCAGTTAAATCGGTCTGTTTTTGTAAAAGAAGATGACATTCATGTAGTATGCTAAAAGGCTTGGTTAGCTTCAAGCTCCACTACAGTCATATTTTAATAACGGGTTCTCTCTTTTTCGAGCTACTTGACAGATATGTGACAGAGGTACTGTGTTGTCGATGGTTTAATCAGTGACATGAGACGTTAATTTTCTTTGACCCATCAAAATAAATGTGGTCATTTATTAACAGAATCAAAATTTAACATCAAAACATTGTACACTTGATTATACTGATCGGCTCTGATTAATAAAACTTGGCACGTTTTACTTAATAAAAACAACAGACATTTCTGAAGGCATCTGGATTAATTACTGGCAAGATAGAAGTTTAAAGATGGGAAATGAAGGAGTTTAAATGGAGAGAAAATATGGAGGAAGATGTATGTCTGTAGACCAGAACAACACGCTCCTTTCAAGCGCAGCTCGCCGTGGTACACTTGTAGTGAAACCAGTGACGACTCTTTACCTTGGCAGAGAATGGGTCCGCTGCGGTCAAGAGGTCCCTGGCACGCTACCTTTCAGCGTCTCCTCAGGGCGGCTGCGACTCGGCAGAAGTCGTGAGATAATCCGTTCCACAGAACAAACTTCCTCAGCAGTTATAGGGCATTCGCCGGGTGGAGCCACAGCGAGGCGTCGTGGCTCCTGCAGAGATGGATGCTCCATCAGCCTGGAAAACTGAGTCTGAAGTTCCACTCAGCAGTGGAAAAACTCCAGAACTACTCCACAGTACTCCAAGAGACTCAGAAGAACTCCGAGGAACTCCAGCCGAACTCCATCAGAACCAGAAGAACTAATGGAACTAACTGAACCAGAGAGACTCCGTGGAACTAACGGGCTCTTAAAGAGTTCTGCTTCCGGTCACTTTTAGGAAGTCCTGATTGGTTGAAGGAACCAACAGGGGTGTGGTTTTAGTGACATCAGAGGGTCATTACCAGTCAAGAAAACAGCGGAAATGCTTAGGGACAAGAGAAATGTTTTGACGAGGTGAAAAACACTGCAGGTGCCAGTTCTCTTGTTTCTGTCTGAGAGGTTTAAAAACACGACAGCTCGTTCCAACAACTTGTTTTCGACTGTCTCCGACTTTTGACCGACATCACTCATTTCAGACAGAAGATCAAAAATGCATAATTACTTTGTAAAATAGACATTTAACTTAATTTCTAATTTGAATGAGGATTAAAAAAATCATTAATACTGTTTCACAGTTGATTTAAAATGAGTGGTTCACTTCAACATTTAGAAATGGTATGAACTAAACACACTTTTGATTATCAAGATATTGTAAAATAGTAATGATAATATAAAAAGAGAGTGTTCTTTCAATTGATTAGTTCAGGATACAATTAGAAAGTCTCTGGATGAGCTAATTTGTATTTCTGGATTCAAATCAATGAAATAACAGTTCCTGTCCCATGAAGGTCTTCAGAGGCAGGTTTTGACCGGAGGCCGAGTTCACTACACATTGCTCAAAACACACCATGGTCATGTGTGTGGATGAGAATTGGTTTTCAAACATTTCACCTGGTAAGATAAAGGTCAAATAAATAAAACGCCGGAGATGCACAGTGAAGAGACTGTGTGGTTTTGCTGTGGGCATCCATTGTTGTCCATTATTCCTTAGAGATAACTCTGCCGTACAATGCTGATGTTGCAGTTTGTAGACGTTATGTCTTGTTTCCATCCGTTTTCTCATTTAAACTGAAAACGAAACTAAACACAACACCTGCAACTTCTATCACAAAGACAACTTTAACTTTGAAGTTTTGGTTAATTTAAATTTCCTTACTCGAAACTTTATACTTGAGTAAAATTTGAAGGAAAATGTTTTCAGTGAAGCTTTTTAATTAAAGAACACTTGAAAGTTTTGTTGGTAACCTGACCCGCTATCTTTTCTTCAGAAATGCCGTCATGGTTGGCTGTGATGCGGCTCTCTTTGGAGGCGTTTTGAGGCCAAAAGTTTCATTGTACTATTACTTTAACCTTTAATTTAACCGTAATGTAAATTATAGCATTTATTATATTCAAGCTGCATAACTTTTATATTTATTTGTTGGAATAAATAGTAACTTTCAACTTCAATGTTTTCTTTGTCCTTTATAGTGTCTTTTTTATGTTTCAGTAAAATTTTTTTATGCTTTGGTTTAAATCTAACTTTAGTGTTTTGTCATTAACAAACACATTTTCTCAGTTCCTTCAGTCTGAGTGTTTATTTTTATAATTTGTCACTTTTTTCAAATACATTTTTTTGTATGCTTTTTCGTTGTTTCTGTTGTTTTGTTCAGTTTTAAATCCATTTTTAAGCACTTTGTGTTACACTTATTGTATGATAGGTGCTCTATAAATAAGTAGGAAGATTGGTTGTTTGATTGGAAGTGTCTTCCAAAGTCGTAATAAAAGAATAAAATATAACATGTCTCTTGCAGAGCTGTTTCCATCAGAAACATCAGCTGATGTCTTTTCTCAGTGTTGGGAATTGAAGCGAGCAGGATCCAGTTAACGAGAGCTGCCATATTGTATTTGTGGAACCAGATTCTGTACATTGGGGTTTTTAAGTCCCGCCTACTTCCAGCACAATCATGGTGTTGGTTTACAGTAGTCCCTCGTTTATCGCAGGGGATCCATACCCTGAAGCCCCACGATAAGTGAAAAACCACAAAGTAGGAATAGTAGTACAAGTAGTAGTTTATTTTTATTATATATATTAAGATGTTTTAGACCCTTCCCACACTCTTGCAATATTCTAAACAAGGTTTCTAAACTCAAAACGCTCTAAAAGAACACAGAATGTCATGATTTCAGTTCTCTGCCTCCGTTGCTCTTTTCCACCTGTGAGCGCTCTTGGCCACACCCATTTTTCCCGCTCTGCATGGTGAATAGCTGATCATGCACGGAGAACAGCTGATCAGCTGCAGCAGGAAGTTTATCCAGCAGTATGGGCTGCACAAAGGTGTAGGAGGTGCTAAATAATGTTAAAACAATTTATTTTAAATTAAAATACCATGCGGCTCATCCATCAATCAGCCAATTGTGTGTCATGTCCAATCTTATTTTGAAAAACCGCAATAGAGCGAGTCCACGATAAACGAACCGCGACGTAGCGAGGGACTACTGTACATGGACAGGGTCGGACTTTAAACTTGTACTGAGACCAGCCTACATTGGAGACCTTGCTCTCCCTCTGACTTTAACTTCCAGGATCCCATAAGAGGTCTAGTGTAGGCGGATGATCAGAAATGGTAAGGTAAAATAAATCCACTGACATAGTAGGAGCAGTATTTGTGGTCGTAGCAGGTGACTCAAATCAGAAAACGTGTTTTCCTCAGGACTGAGACTTGATCTGGCTGAAAACTCATCAGCATCACTCGACTGTACTTCATGCTTGATCCTGATGCATGCTCAATAATCCAGGTAGAAGAATCCAAAACCAGATTGAACTTTTTTGGATTCATGCTTGATGTTTGTGTGATTGTTTCAGGCAGAAGCAATGGCAGCCAGATGTGGAGTGGATGGAGCAGTATGCCGGGGCTGTAATGTACCCCTGTGCTGAAAATCCGAAGTGGAAGCTTCCCCCATGGAACGGTACTCGCTGTCTCAGCTTTAGGACTTTTCTATCGTTATACGCTCGTTGGAAGGTGAACGTATTCTGGTGTAGGCTCCGTGCGCACGTCTCTACACACATCTGTAAACTCTCGTCCTGCCCATAACATCTGGTGCAGTCGAGATGACTTAATGAAACATCAAAAACTTATGCATCATCACTAGACGGAGTGTCGCATACACTTTTTTTTTTAATCACCCCATCATCAAGGTCAAAGGTCATGCAAGGTATTTGCTTATCTGGGCCATAACTTCTGATCCACCCAAGGTAATTTATTGAAACGGGATACATATATGCATCATCACCAGATGAAGTGTCACATTTACTTTTTATATCCCCAGTGCTGGGGTGAAGGTCACAAATCAAGGTCAAATATTATATAAGGTCTTGGCTTGTTCCACCCATATCTTCTGATAATTTAGTACAACTTTATCCACCTAATAGGTATCATCACTAAACAGTGCTGCATACACTTTTAATCACCCCAGCTCCAAGATCAAAGTCCCAAATCAAGGTCAAGGGTTATGTAGGGTCTTTGCTTGTCCAGGCTGTCGCTATAGATTGTTGTATAATAGTTTTGTTGATGGGCGTAAAATGTTTAGTATGCGGTACTTTTGTATTTGTTGTGTACTTTTAAATCAAAAGGAGACTAAATTTAGCACCTGAAAACTGTCAACCTGATATAAACCTTAACTTCCTGTGCTCTTAGAATTAGTGTTATTAATCCCTGATGCTTTTTCATTGTTGTTTAGCTGCTATCCCATTAAAAAGAATGCATTTCAAAAAATCTAGCAAGGTTGAGTCAGGTCCTCTGGACGGTTTCTTGTTTTGTTTGTCTTATTGTTAGGTTGATGGTCCTCCTTGATCATGTGAACAGCTAGTTCTGGCTGTCAACAACAAACTGCTTGATCCACTATGAGAAGGTGCCATTTACAGGTCCTTCTCAAAAAATTAGCATATTGTGATAAAGGTCATTATTTTCCATAATGTAATGATAAAAATGAAACTTTCATACATTTCAGATTCATTGCACACCAACTGAAATATTTCAGGTCTTTAATTGTTTTAATGCTGATGATTATGGCATACAGCTCATGAAAACCCAAAATGCCTTTCCCAAAAAATTAGCATATCATGAAAAGTTTCTCTAAACAAGCTATTAACCTAACCATCTGAATCAACAACGTAACTCTAAACACCTGCAAAAGATTCCTGAGGCTTTTAAAAACTCCCAGCCTTGTTCATTACTCAAAACCGCAATCATGGGTAAGACTGCCGACCTGACTGCTGTCCAGAAGGCCATCATTGACACCCTCAAGCAAGAGGGTAAGACACAGAAAGAAATTGCTGAACGAATAGGCTGTTCCCAGAGTGCTGTATCAAGGCACCTCAGTGGGAAGTCTGTGGGAAGGGAAAAGTGTGGCAGAAAACGCTGCACAACGAGAAGAGGTGACCGGACCCTGAGGAGGATTGTGGAGAAGGGCTGATTCCAGACCTTGGGGGACCTGTGGAAGCAGTGGACTGAGTCTGGAGTAGAAACATCCAGAGCCACCGTGCACAGGCATGTGCAGGAAATGGGCTACAGGTGCCGCATTCCCCAGGTCAAGCCACTTTTGAACCAGAAACAGCAGCAGAAGCGCCTGACCTGGGCTACAGAGAAGCAGCACTGGACTGTTGCTCAGCGGTCCAATGTACTTTTTCAGATGAAAGCAAATTTTGCATGTCATTAGGAAATCAAGGTGCCAGAGTCTGGCGGAAGACTGGGGAGAAGGAAATGCCAAAATGCCAGAAGTCCAGTGTGAAGCACCCACAGTCAGTGATGGTCTGGGGTGCCATGTCATCTGCTGGTGTTGGTCCACTGTGTTTTATCAAGGGCAGGGTCAATGCAGCTAGCTATCAGGAGATTTTGGAGCACTTCATGCTTCCATCTGCTGAAAAGTTTTATGGAGATGAAGATTTCATTTTTCAGCACGACCTGGCACCTGCTCACAGTGCCAAAACCACTGGTAAATGGTTTACTGACCATGGTATTACTGTGCTCAATTGGCCTGCCAACTCTCCTGACCTGAACCCCATAGAGAACCTGTGGGATATTGTGAAGAGAGAGTTGAGAGACGCAAGACCCAACACTCTGGATGAGCTTAAGGCTGCTATCGAAGCATCCTGGGCTTCCATAACACCTCAGCAGTGCCACAGGCTGATTGCCTCCATGCCACGCCGCATTGAAGCAGTCATTCATGCAAAAGGATTCCCGACCAAGTATTGAGTGCATAACTGAACATGATTATTTGAAGGTTGGTGTTTTTTGTATTAAAAACACTTGTCTTTCATTGGTGGGATGAAATATGCTAATTTTTTGGGACAGGCATTTTGGGCTTTCATGAGCTGTATGCCATAATCGTCAGTATTAAAACAATTAAAGA